AACCTCTTTAATTTTAAGTGATGTCTTCAAGTTGCCTATTGTGTCCGGCCAACTAAGAAAAACAGCCCATTTAAGAAGCTGGAACCACAAGTTTTGGGAATTATGCTTAAAAAATACCTAAATCATAAAAAGATTGTTGTAGTTTTCCATATATATTTGCATATATTAGGGATATCATAACCTAGGCTGGGTATTGAGTATCAACATACAGTAAATCAACTAATCCATAAAATCAAGTCTTAAATAAATATCAAATTGGCCAAATTCTAACTCTTTGATGAGATATCAGATCATCACCTTTTTAAAATCTTATTTTTTATTTAGGCTGTTGTACAACTGCTCGTGCTAAGATAACATTAAATGACTGATGCAGTGAGAAGGTTGGCATGTTTTTAATGAATAAATTATTGTTAGTATTGGAATATGATAATAAAATCTTAAACTCAGATGTTATGTTAGCAGTAGTATCAAAATATTTTAAACAATACCCAGCTCTAATCATGACTAAAATAGGCACTTGAAAATTATTCTTATATATATATAAATATATATACTGTATAAATATATAAATATATACAGTTTATATGGTGATTCCAACCGTATCTCCCAGACCTAATTTAATTGCTGAAGTGTTTTTTGTTATTGTGGTTCCTCGTTTGCTTGTGTTGTTTGTGAAACTGGGGATTTCTGGTGAGTTCAGCCCATGACTCATCTTTCTAGTCATCTCCACACTGGCCGGCTGGTTGCCATGACGCTGCTGTGACAGAAAAAAAGGAATATGGCCATTTACAGCCACCGACCATGAGCTTCAGATAGGAAATCTGTCTTTTGTGATTCATCAGGTTTGTTCTGTTAAAATGTTTTACTCCCGTTTCTTCCCCCTTTTTTATTCCACTTTTCTTTTCCCCGTACCTGCCCTCACTGAGCTAATCCCACTCTGGGTGTGATGTGAATGCACAGTGGAGCTGAGGCTCGGCTGCTAATGCATTCTGGTTTGTTCTCAGCTGTCTAAGATGTTGTGTTCTTCCTCTTCTCTGAAATGTTTGATGACTGGTCTCTGAGGAGAGTCAGAGATAAAGCAAATAGGAAAAGGATATTTAATATCCTTGTTTTCCATTCTTTTCTTCTTCTTTTTGGGATTTTCACATCACCTGAGCTGATAGGTATGAAGATATTTTTATCTGTTTAATTATCAGGGCAGGGGCTCGCAGTATGTGTTAGCTCTCAGGTGATAATCACTTCTTAGTCATGCTTTGTGAAGTCTAACAACACCTGCTGCGGTGTTCCTGTTGTTTATGGCAGAAGCAGATTAAAATCTTTGACCTCTGCCCTGTTATCTGACATTAGAACAAGAAAAAACAGTGGTGATAATTTCCGGTGTTTTATAAAGACCTTCAGAAGGAGGAAACAGTGCCGTTTTCATGCTGGTTCAGTCATTTATGTATATCCCAAAAGCAAATCTANNCCCACCCCCATTTACAAAGGTGCCTTTGCATCAGAAGAAATGTTAACTCATTCCTCTGCTGCAGGGTGACTCTTTTCAACCCTCATTATTCAAAGCACTTGTCTTTTCCCGTCCCGCCCTCGCTCCTTATTCCATTACCCCCCTCCGCTCTGTTGCTCTCTTTTTCCCCCCTCCTCCATTTATTCAATATCAGTGCTAAGGAGGTGTAAATTCATCACAGTGGCAGCCACCGAGCAGAGAACGGAGGAGAAGCACGGTCGGTTCATTTTCGGGATAATTACTGAGTCTCACCTCCTGCAAGCTTCCCTGCTTTTTACCTTTAGTCCGTGACAATGCAGCGTAGTTTGGATTTTACCAACCAAATGTAGGAAAGCTAAAGTTTTGTATAAAATAAAAAACTCAGTAAAAAGGCCTATTGACCAGGCTGTGGCCTCACAGCGCGAGAAAACGCTTCATTGATCACCTGTTGAAAAGCTTTTATGCAATTTCCCCACTGCTGATTTCCCTTCAGGGTATTTTATTTACTATCGATTCCTATATCTTCTTTCTATTTCCTTCCTGGTGCAGCTCTCACTGGCTGTCTGTAATAAGCTGCAGAGATGGTTACTATGACACTGCTGGGGTCTCCAGTCTGGCACTGCCAATGGGAAAGCAGCTCTGCCATCAGGTGGCCTGTAGCTATTTTGAACAGGAGCTGTATGTGAAGTGAAGCAAGCAGCTAAATTAGAGACACATCTCACTGACACGAGAGGAGGAGAAGAAGAAGAAGGAATGGGAAGGAATCTCGACACGTTCTGAAAGGGTTTTGGGGAGAAAGGGTGCAGAGAGGTTACCCCCCCGTCCACATACACATATTTCTTTATATAAAGTATTGACTCATGAATCTGTCAATCCCTCTCACTCTCTTCTCTCCCTGACTCTTTTTATTCTGTGTGACGTGAATCAACTGGGTGAGTGACTCAGAGACACAAGCATTTGTCCTTACACACACACACACGCATTCACAGACATACATAAGTCATCGCCTATCCCTCCCACTCTTTCTCGCTCTACATTTTGCTGCATCACCGACCTGTTGTAGCGAGCTGGTTGGTCCCAGGCTGTGTCAGACGTCATTTCAGCTTTTTTTTTTCTCTAAAAAGCATTCCCTTGGGTTCCCCATTAATGTTTGTTAACCTTCACTTAGTCGGTGCTCCATGTTGGGATTCACCTGTATGGTTTAGAAGATGACTCAGAGCCGGTAAGTGGGGGTGGCTGTTATTGTCCTCATTAGATGCTGCATGCCACTCACAGGATCATGCCACCTACTTGAGTGGGATGCGAGCGCACCGTTTGCGAGTGTTTGCGTTTGAGTAAATGAAACAGGAAGTGGGGACGGTTTGTGGATGCCCCAGGATGCAAGGAGTAGCGAACCATCGCCTTGGTAACAGGGGAGTGTCTACATTTGTTCGCCTGTTGCCAAGTCACAGAGCGCCTCAATACGACAGGTGGCTGAGCTAGAATCAACATTTGTGTTTGTCCTTTCATTTCAAATCATAAAGAGACGCATGGATGGTAATCAAAGGCGTAGAGGAGCATTAATCATACATAAATGCACATGTAAACACGCTAACACCCAACACAGATGCTTCAGTCTTCCACAAATGACTCTCTGGATATATTTAGACCTTTAGTTTCACTCGGGTGTTAAATGTTTTTCTCCACAAGTTCTTGATAAAGGTTTGTGTTTGAGGAATGGCACCAAGGATTTCTTTTTATCTTTTTTTATTTTAAAAAAGGGACCCATTATTTTGGTATTTTACTCATTTTGATGGTGGCAGGAAACAAAGGAAATGAGAGAGAGAGAGAGAGGTATGACTTGCAACAAAGGTCCCCCGCCAAAATAAAAACCAGGGATATTGAACCACGAGGCCATGAGCGCATCCCAGATTTCTTTTCATCTTTTAAATAGGAAACATTAGCATGCAAAATAGATCAAAAGACAGCAAGAAACCAAGAGTAGGGCTTAAATCTCCTACTTTCTCCCCAGTAACATTGTCGGACTCATGATAGACAATTTGAAACAAATGAGATGTCCTTTTTTATTCCACACATTCTTCTTCCTTGTCAAAACATGGCAACTACATTATCCACAATGCAACTGGTCCATCTACATTTTAGTCAGAGATTCAGGTGTGTTATGCTAGCAGCAGCTAATGTAGCCCCAACCTGTAAACCTCAAGCAGAGACGCAGTGTGGGCTACGGAGGTCTGGCAAGCTCACTTCTTTCCAACTGCACACAACCAGATTTTTTTCATATTCAAAGTTGTATTCTTCACATATGCAGAAGTACAGACTTAAGAGTTCCCCTTTAATAGTCCTGATCAGTAAGTAGGTACGATTCTTAGGCGTGTTTACTTAACTTTCCTTTCATTATATATTTCTTCTTTATGTAGGTAAGATTTTTAACTCATTCAGGAAGCAGTTTGGCATTTTTACTGAAATTAAAAAAGGGTTCAAATATGTTTATATTCCCCCAAAAAATTGTATTGTTTTGTTATTAGTGACACTAAGGTATCATATGTTTCAGTACTACAGTCCAGAGATATTTTGTTGTTCTGAATGAGCTCTTTGTGTTGTCTGACTACACATGTGCAGGGAATTTTTTCATCATCATTACATATGGCATATGTCATCTTTGCGCATTCTCACCTCTATTTTAAAAAGCCCACACCTAGTGACTCACTTCTTCTGCCTGGCACATTCAGCTGTCCGCATTCTTGTCAGCACCTCCCACAAAGCGCCAGGCAGCCTGTCAGCTCAAAAAAAAAAAAAAACACAGGAAGAAGAGAACAAGTGGGATTGTTATATAAGTTGAACACTCAAAACATTTTCAGAAGTTCAGGCTGCCTCCCTCACTGCACCGCTCTGCTGAACAGTACAGTGGGCTGGCACCGCAGGCTCGCAGGAGGCTCGGGTTTTTATAGTGGTATGGGTGTCTGCAAGAGGGTCAGCAGAAGAGAGTCAAGTTACCGTGCATGAGTGGTGGATGTGTTGGAAACTGTGGCCACTTCATGAGAAATTTATATCCCTCCTAATATTATAAACAGTCCTCAGGCCATTTCTGTGTCTACTTGACACACCCACACGCTGAATGTGTTGTACCTGTGCAAAAAGATTTAATACCTCAGCCTCACTGCAGCTGGAGTGGAAACGTCGGCTTGTTGTTATGCATCCTCTCCACCTCAAATTACACAGAGTCAGCTTTCATGCAGTATGAAGGCCAAGGCCCCTTTTGTGCCTATGTAGGTTACTCTTCTCATGGCAGTCTTGACATTTTGAGCACAAATGAATTGCAAATGCAGAGCCACACGCCTCCTTCTTCATAAGGTAGAACGTTGATGTTCAAGCATATACCAGATGCCCAGACTTTTATCCTAGACCTGCAGTTTCTTTTAGTCTGCTCCTGTTTTTGCAACCTCCAAGGCTTGTTTCATGGACACGTAGTGCACTGCACCCCCTCCTCACCTTTATGCAAACCCACTGTGCATTTCAGGGCTCCGCAGACTCCTACACCAGCCGGCCGTCGGACTCAGACGTGTCCCTGGAGGAGGACCCTGAGGCTCTGAGGAAGGAGGCCGACAGACAGGCCCTCGCCACGCTCGAGAAAGCAAAGGTCAGAGATAAACTGCTGTATATCCGTCCGTTATGCACAGTGTTAGTTTAATAGTCATCATTGCTGCATAATTTTCACATCAGCGTTGAGTGTTTTGACTCTGGTAAAGCTCTTCCTCAGTGTCAAGGGGACACTGAACTCGGTGTTAGGTGTTTCTGGTGAGGCGCCGCCTGTATACTAATATCTGTTATTCCCCCTCACTCCTCCAGACCAAACCGGTGGCGTTTGCTGTGCGGACAAATGTGGGTTACAACCCTGGCCCCAGCGATGACGTTCCTGTGCAGGGCATGGCCATATCTTTCGAAGCCAAAGACTTCTTGCACATTAAAGAGGTACGAATGTCAAGCACCATTTTAGCACATATTTGTATTTTCACACAGAGATATAGATATAAAAGTAACGCTTAAACTTTTTGACTTTGGTCACTTGGAGTTCATAATTGTACTTTTGTATCTCACAAACATCATAAAGGCATAAAAATAATCTCACAAGAAAGTCTGTGGCTTATTGTACACAATGGGCTATAACAGATACAATTCAGTGCTGCTTTTTTCTGAAAGTGTTCAACATTCAACATAATAAAATGCTGGTGGTTGTCTATATGCAGAAGTACAACAATGACTGGTGGATCGGACGTCTGGTGAAGGAGGGCTGTGAGGTGGGCTTCATCCCCAGCCCGGTCAAGCTGGAGAACACCCGTCTGCTGCAGGAGCAGAGGATGAGACAGAACCGACTCAGCTCCAGGTAACCATTAAAAATCTCTCTGCATATAAAGCATCAACATCACAAATGACAACCCCCACTTTTTGAAGACAGGTCAGACCTGAGTCACAACAGGCAATGTAAAACTTCCTAAAATAGACAGAAGCAGTGCGGTGAGCCACTGTCTTCCTCTGTGCAACTACAGTGTGTATGTATAGGTCTTTGGGGTCTCTCTCTATAGGTTATAGGTTTGTTTGTTTTTTAAATAAAGGAATGCATCTGTTTATTTTGACTATTCGAAATTGTATTAATGATCAGATTTCAATATACAATTTGCAGTACAAGCGCTCTTAATATTGTTTAATATTTTTATTTCCAATAGCAGCTCCTAGTTCAAAAGATGGTCAAAAGATGATTTAAAGGAGTATTGTGGAGCTACCGTATCCTCTGTCTTTTACCACGCAGTCATTAGTGCCTGTTTTTCCCGTTACACAGTAAATCTGGAGGAAGCTCCAGTCTGGACGTTGCCACGGGAACGCGCAGGCCCACCCCACCCGGCACAGGTGAGGTCGAGGGGGTCTCATTAAACAACTGGCAAAATTATGACTTTGTGCGTGTTTGCGTGGGCATGTGTGTGTGTGTAAGCCTGACAGAGCGAGCGAGATAAGACAGGCGCCTGATATTTAGATGAAGATTTTAATTGGCTAGTTAGTCAGGCATGATGATGAATCACGGCGCGTCTCAGTGGGTTGTTGTATGAAGTGAGAGAGGTCTTTGGAGGTCTGTCATTAGCACACAGGACAAGACTGAAATAGAGCCAAGGATGGACCGCGCTCATTAAACTTGATAAGTATGTCTGGCTTGTGTGTGTGTGCGCATCGCCAGGACGACAAAGAACTGCCTGCTCGATATCCGAGAGAAACAGCGGGAGAGAGGAAAGTGCAAACGTGGGAAAAATAAACAACTCTGATTGACTTGGGTTTTTTGTTCAACAAATAGAAGCACTGACCTGAACTGAATACCTGTATAACAGAAACCACATCTGTGTAATACACCTTGTTGGGGAAAAAATACGCTTATTCGCCTCCTGTTGTCATGACCACTCATATCTGTCTGTTAGCTTACATTAGCTTAGCACAAAGACTGGAAACAGGGAATCAGGAACAGGAAAAAATGCACCTCTAAAGCTCACTAAATTACATCTGGTTTAATCTGTATAAAAAGTGTAAAAACTTCAAACTTGTGCCGGACTATTTCCTTATACAATTATGTGATATAAAAACAAATGTGATATAATGTGTTCATCGGTGAGCTTTAGTGATGCTCATAGGCAGATTTTGTTGTCATTAAACAGAGCCAGCCCCCCTGTTTCCAGTCTTTGTGCTAAGATAACCGGCTGCTGGCTGGAGGCTCATACTTAACAGGCAGTTGTTAAGGTGGTATCAATCTCTCAACTCTAGGCAAGAAAGCGAACATTTCCCCAAACCCCCCCCCTAACAATTCCTTTAAAACGAAACATCCCCCAGCCTTGCCTACCAACCCCTCCTACCAACCACACCTGCATCTCCAACAATAATCCAGACACACACTTTATTCCGACCCCTCCGAGCTTCCCTCTCAGCTTGATTCCTCCTTTCCTGTACACTCCGGTCCCCTCTGCAGCCTCTCCTTTACACTTTTGTTGCTTTGTCGTCACACTGAATTCACTCTCTCCTTCGTGTTATTACACCCCACATCTGTGCTTTTGCTTCACGATAAACTGATGTGTTGTTCTTTTTTAAAACTCTTGTCAGTGTTATTTCCAGTTCAATCATACTGTGTCACCTTTTTTTGATCTCCGTGTATGCCATCTCTTGCAATTTCCTCCATGCCTCTTTCTGGATGCGTCTCACATTCTTCTATGTACTCTTCCCCTTTTTGCTTTTCCTCTTCTATTACTTTCTCTCCACTCTCATCCTCTTTTACTTTGCTTTGTCTCGCTCTCTCCTGCTCTTCTTCCTCTCTCTGTGCTGCCCGCCCTTCCTCCTCCCCTTCCCCACCTCATCAGCTCACGTGGATTCGTCCACTGTGGCCTTTGACGTTGACCCCCTCGACCTGGATGCCGAGGAGCCCCCTGAGTTCCAGGGTGACCCTCGCTCCTCCAAGGGCATGTCAGGCAGCGTAACATCCCCTCAGGCCAACACCCACCGACTGCCCTTCTTTAAGAAGGTAACATTAGGGGCCCAGGACACCTCGCTTACCTCGCCAGCCTCCCTCCTCCCCTCCTGCATTTGTCCCCTAATCCTCAGAGAGGTCTAATCTCCCCTTCCCTTCTCCATATCTCACTAACTAAACTGTCCCTGCTGCTACTGTAGCTCCTGAATCTAACCCTGTTTGGCCCCTCAGGCTCCGGTCACTGATTGTTACGCTGAGACATGTTTGGATGTTTGTTTTTGAGCTTGTCAGCTGGGAGGGGCGTTGAACTAACTAACCAATACAAAGGCTGCTTCTGCTATTTTATTAAATATATTCTATAATTCATACAAAGCTACATTGGAGGCAGTCAGTGTAAACTGTGTTTTAATCAATAAACAGCTCCTCTCCCAACCCCCCCCCCCAACCCTAATCCCAACCTGCCAATAACTAAATGT